ATAGCAACGTACACCAAAAAAATGAGTACATGTAAAAACTAATGAAACTCAATTAAGGTATATAGTTTAGTTAATAATATTATACCAGTACCTATTTCCTAGTTGGGAAAATGAGATGTGGTTAATTACAATGTTTCCATTGGGAAAGCTGGATAAAAAATACATAGAAAATCTCTGTACTACTTTTTGCAACTTCTTGTGATTCTTAAATTATATCAGAATAAATTGTGTCAATATAAAAGTTTTTTTAATAGTCTGTTTGAATTTTATTTTGAGATTTCATTGAATCTATAGGTCTGGGGGAAATTAATGTATTTACATTATTGAATCTTACAGTCAATAATCATGGTATATTTCTCCATTTATTTTTCGATCTTAGCTTTTCCTAATTGTGTTATTTTCTTCTTAGTTATATAACTTGTATTAAATTTATTCCTAGATACATCATATATTTCACACTATTTAAAACTTCATTTTCTATCTTTTTTTTCTAGACATTTCACTCTTTATTCCCTTTCATCTGGCTACCCCTTTTCTCCTTTATTCTTCTCACTGTCGACATGAATGACCACTGAGTGCTCAATCATATTGGCACATTTAAGTCTTCATTTTAATTGATGTCTTAGTAGAATTTGACACTGAATTTGTATATCATCCTTGCTATCTCTGGATGACGCTGTTTTCATGAACCTCTTGAGTACCAAGTGTACTGCTGGCCCAAAGATAACATATCTGTGTCCCTCTGGGTTTAATAAGAACAACTGGACCCAGCCTTGAGCATTGAAGAAGATTGACCCCTTAATGGAGGAGGATGATGGGGTTGGGCTTGATGGAGCCTGGGCTGAAGCACTAAGGAGGTCGAAGTGCGAGGACTCTGTGGACCTGTGGAAACAGATGGCAGCATCTTCTTTCCTCTCCACAGGAATCCACAGATGTATACATTTGTCACCCAGCCTTGACTAGTTCAAACTAACGTATCAATTCAATTCAACAAATATTTATTAATAGTACATAGTTTGTATAAGTGCAAGTTTGTTGGTGACATTACTACTGTCTAATAATGTATTTATTTCACTTTATTCCTAAAGAAGCTTTTCTCTGGATATAGAATTCTCTGTTGGTGGTTACCTTCTTTCAGCTTGTTGAAGATATCATCCCATTAATTTCTAGCTTCCATTGTTCTTATTGAGAATCCAGCTGCCAGTCTAATGCTCTTTTTACTGTGTTATGCTTTTTGTCTTCTGGTTGCTTTGAACATCTTATTATTTTATTTGACTTTCTGAAATTTCACTATAATGCTGGATTTTAAAATTTCTCTTGCTTAGGATTTTTTGGGCTTCTTGAATCTCAGAGCTGATATTTTCTATTTGTACTGGAAAGTTCTCAGCTCTAATATTCATATAATGGAAGACTATATAGAAAAAAAGTACAGCTTCCTACAAAAACATGAATAATTCCTAGAATGCATTCCGTTTGATTCCATTTATATTGATATTTTAAAATAAGCAAAAATATAGTGTGGGAAAACTATAAAACAAAACAATGGTTAAATTCTATACGAGAAAGGATAATGTTTCCCACTAGATAAGGAAAAAGGAATATGTAGTTAGGAAGGAGCACTTGGTGTGGGGAGTTTTCTGTGGTTTTGGCAATATTCAATTTCCTGACCTGGTTCATAGTTACATAGTTTTCTTTAAAATAATTTAAGATATGCATTTATGTTTTACACTGTTTTTGGTATGTGTATTATTTTTCACCAATATAAAAACCCCCCATCTACACACACACACACACACAGAGGAAATAACAAGGGGGAAATCTGCTTCATTAAACTGGTCAGGAACAGTCTCTCTGAACACAGAGAGATTATTTTTATAATCTGAAGAGATACATTTAAAAAGTATGCAGCAAACTCAACAATACAGAGGGCTATTTGCCATCTTGGGAGTGCTGGCAGTTTACAAAGAGATCTCTGAGCATGGCCTTCATGTACTTCATGAATTGACTACGGAAAGTACAGAGAAGTCCCTAATTTCTCCTTAGCTGATCACCCTTAGAAAGAGTTCTTCTGGTGATAGCTAGGTTTGTTGATACAGCATATTGGAAGCACAGGAAATTTTATTGGAGCTATAAGCTGTAACAGGAACAATGGATAGATTATTGGCTACTTTTTCACCCTTGAATCCCAGACCTACCTCCTTAGTCACTTCAATGTCCATGTTATCTTCTCCATCCCTCAGCATCATAGGAAGAAACTATCTAGGAAATTGTGAACATACTGAACAATTCTGAGATTCCCAGAAAATCCTCGGGGATGGCAAGTCTCATGGTAGACAAGAATCCACATATAAAATCTTCCCAGAGATACTTTTGTGTTCTTTCTTAGATCTGCATATATTGTCTGAGAATTTCCTGTTTTCACATCCCTCAAAAGCGTAGAACTTCTCTGGTTTCATCTAGTCCCAGTCACTCAGAGCTGTGCTGTTCACTTGCCTGAGGGAAAACAGACAGGCTGTTCTGATCTGACCATTCTTTCAAACGCTGATCTGGAAGAAACTGTTCTTTCCCTGCTGGGTCACTGGTATAAGTTCTATGAGTACTGGGAAAACCCCAGGAGTCTAAGGCCATTGATGCTGCATTGGAACAGTCTGTGTGGTTTTTCATCTTGTTGACCCTCCTCATCATATGTGGGATCTGCCTAAGCTGAGATCTCTTTCCTCAAATCCTGGTGCTCAACACCAGCCCCACTAACCTATTCAAAAAGGTCATTATGTGAAAATATCTCAATAACCAATGAATTTCAGGATATTTTGCTGTATTCCCTGTGGAGAGTAGATTGGTTTCTTTTAAAAATAATGATAACTGTTTGGAAAGCAAATTTCCATTCAAGAAACATCATTTTTATTGTTTTGCATAATAGCATTGCAGATGCAAACCAAAAATCCTAGCCCATAATCTAAACATCTTCTAATCATACACATAAGGACATACTTGAGTACCTACCTAGTCACTCTTGGAGTTGAAATAAAACCCTGGGCAAATCTTCTGGACTAATTGTACCTCCAGAACTCTGTGATGGAGAGGAGGGCATCATGAATAAAGGGGCCATACAGACTTAAATAAGGTTCGGAGCGATAAGAAAACGGATTCATTCCTGAATACTTTTAATTCATGAGTCTGAAATTTATGACATAAAGAATTATTTAGGGGTGTCCTAACAGAATAAGAAAAAGGATTAGGGGCACTGAGGAAAGGAACAGAGTGAGGCCCAATAAAATCAGGTATTATGGGACACTAAGGCTGGGAATATGAATTTGAGGAGATTTTAGGAAAAAAGTGCGTCGTTAAAATAGGCTTCAAACATAAGCAAGGAATCCAAGTGGATCAGTAAAGCTGGGAGGGGGAAATTTCTGCTTTAGGAGAAGTGGTATAATAATATCCTGAGAGTGTATCTAGGTGAGGAGACAGTTTCTGACAGGACAGAGGAAGAAAACCTTCCCTCCTTTCTTGTGGGCTGCCATTAGCTAAAGTATTAAATATGGAATTCCTAAAAGGAAAAGAGGGGAGATCACAAAACGTTGGAGAAAGGAATGCAAAGATGCAAGAGAAGATGCTAAATTTCAGAGCAATGGGAAGAGGGAGAGGGAGAAATCTGCTAGTGAATATGCATAACACAGAAATCAGAGATGTCATTTGCGTGTGAATAGACGTGGTGTGTGTGTGTGTGTGTGTGTGTGTGTGTGTGTGTGTGTAATACATGAATATTTAATGGTGTTATTTCAAAGCTTCACCAGAGGACAAGTGGTTACCTAGTTGTATCTCTCTTCCTCCTTCTTCCCTGTATGGAAATGCCAGTTTGCTCTTTTGCTATGTCATAGTAACCTCCAATATATGCTGGAGAAAATCTCTTCTGTACATCACTCTTGTTGTCCCTCCCTCTTCAGAAAACATCTGGCTTGGACTACTATGCCACTTTGCTGTAGACCTACATTGTGCTCTATTGCAATCAGCTTCCTTTCAGTTGCTGTTTCTCTCGCTATATTGCTTTGCCCTAAGCATAGGCACAGACCTTTCCCTCAATTCCTTGCAATGACAGCCAAGGCTAAGCTGCAACTTCCATTACAATTTGTTGAAGATATGGAAATAACTGAAGGAAACTAACAGAAAACTTAGAATGAGATACTAGATATGGCTGTTCTTAGAATCCACAGGATCAATCCCTCTGTGGGAATTTTACACTCAGCCACCTGCCTCATTGAATACCTAGTCACTCTCAGAGTTGAGGTAATACCCCTAATACCTGGCCTGACACCAAGGGGAAGGACAGCTCACCTCCCTCCAGGAGAAGTAACTGCAAACCTCTCTCTCTGAACAAAAGTCTAATAAGTCTCAACCACTGGGAAACTCCAAGAACGGGAGCAGTTTCTTCCTCAGCTCTCATCTTCTATCCCAGAGTTTGCTTCATTCCAGGATGATGGACAGTGGGAAGCTACTCCCCTCATGGGAATCCTCTGTCAGTGCCTCTGAGTCTATCCTTTCCACTTCTTTTCCCATTCTCTATAGTATTCCTTTTTAAGGCTCTGTGCTCAGACTTCTTTTGGCCTTTCTGCTTTCCAATTATTTGCACTCATATATTCTTTCAGCTTTAATGAGCACGTTGGTGTAGATGACTCTGAATTTTACCCACCCAGCCCTGATTTATCCTTGCATTCTCTTGTAGTGTGGTATAATGAAAAGATCATAGAACATGGCATCAGAACTCCTGAGCAGTAGGACTAGAATAAATCAGATTCAGGACTTACCTGGCTAGTCCCTTTTCCTCCCAATTTGCCAAAAAGATAAATTACGGAGTGACTGGTTTTCCTGGGAACAGGATACGCCATTGAAGGAATTCCACAGTGTCTCCACCTCTAGCCCTTCCTGGGGAAGCCCAACCTGGCAGCTGTATAAATAGGCACCTTGCAGCTTCCTACTCCAACCCTCCCCTTTCTCTCTCCAAAATGGACAAGTCCCTTCTGCTAGGACTCCCCATCCTGCTCTGCTGCTTTAGAGGTGAGTCCACGGGGTTGACAGTTGGTGAGATGTGTCCAGGATCCAGGAATGGGTCAGGGTTCTCATGACAGCGGTCCTCTTATGGGAGCCATATGGTAACAGAAGCTGCCATTTTAATGCCATGCTTCTCACCTACAATGCATCATGTCCCTGGGATCTTCACGAAAGCCTTAGTCCTCCCCTTATAGGAGTAGATAGGTGGATTATAAAGGAATTTAGAGGATTTTCATAGAAGCTGTGAAGAGCGTTTTGTAAAATGAAGTCTGCAGAGAGTGTATCTTTTTTTCCGACAGTACTAACTGGATCATTTTCAGACAGCGAACATGCAAGTGAGTAGAAATGGGTCACTGATGTGGGAGGGGAAATACTGGAGGAGGGGAGATGAGCAGGGCGGGGTAGCATCAGGGGTTGAAAGGAACCCAGAGATAGATCTTGAATTTCAACACTCAGCAATCTCTTCCAGCAGGATTGGGTTGGGATGGCAGCTGATTTTAAGTTTGACAAAACACCATGAGCAGCAGTTGACAAGGTTAAGGGTTAGTGTAATAAAGGGCAAGAAAAAGAGAAAGGAGGAGGTAGAATGTTGGCTGTATAGACACTAGCTGGCCAAATTCACAGTGTAGCAACTTCACGAGTTTCAGATGCTTTTCCCCATTGTCAGCTTCCAGGAACACGTAGGTAAGAAAGCCACATAGCGTCAATTAAAAAGAAGGGAAAGAGGCAAGAAAAACTTACATTTATCTTTCTCCTTCTGGTCTGTGCTGCACCCTATAGGGATAGGTAGGGGAGTCTGAGAGGCCCTATGGAGGTGAAGAGAACTGAAAGGAGGGAAGAGGTGCAGAGATGTCCTGAGATAGGTGACTAAGTTTTGGAGGGACAGAAAGGGCCTAAGGTGGCTCTAGGTGAAGAGTACAGGATGGACCCCAAGCATTGCAAGGATTACAAGGGTCCTATGCAGGGATAAATCACAGACAAAGTTGCAGATTTGTTTTATTTCTCTTTGCCAGTACAGCCCGCGAACTACTTGTCAATGAAGACCAGTATACCGGCGAGTATGAAGAAGACCTGATCTGATTACTTCAGTCTTGATTTTGTTCCTCTTTTCCTTATTCCTCCATTTTTCTTTCCCCTCCCATTTTTTTATGCTAAAACTCCTGAGACCGTAATCTCCAGTCCCTCTCTTAGCTTAGCCTATTTTAATAGAGGCAGATGCCCATGGTTAGTTGGTCTCTGGCAAAGCCCTCTGGGCTCAAAGCAGTCTTCAAACCAGAAAGGGGAGATGAGTCCTTTCGTGGCTGTGTGAGATCTGCTCTCACTTCTATTTCCCTACTCTCTGGCCCAAATTATAGAAGTTGTTCAGTGCAGGATGTGCCACCTCCAGTTTCCAGGAGAGAAGTGTTCCAGAGGCAGAGGAATATGCACTGCAACAACGGAAGAGTCTTGCACAACTGGGAGGATTTTCAAAAGTGAGTTGTTTGTTGGGGAAGGGAAGATGGGGCAGAAGAAGCAGACAGGGACATATCAACCATAGTAAAAAGGAGGGAACCTTACTTTACTACAGGCAGTCTCAGCCCTGGGATGAGAGATATCTCTACCCGCATCATATACCATAATGAAAAATAGATGGAGGTGGTCACTAAGGGATGGGGTGTATAGCTATGGAACCAGTACTTTGAGAAGCCTGAAAAAAACAGAGGAGACTGAATTGAGGTGAGAGGAGAGGTACAATATGGCCAGTGGAGAACAACTGATTGTTGGAGTGGGAAGGACAACTCCTTGTCTTTGTCTCTGCCTGGAATTTCTGTGGGTGCTTTTAAACTGTGGAAATAGAGGGGCCAGTGTCAGCAATAAATACTGGCTAAATGGCCCTTGATGGGTAAGTCTAAACATTGTGATTTCTCTAATGCTCACTCTTTGTGCTAAGCCATCCCTTGACATTTATAATCCTTACTTACACCACTGTTAAGATTCTCAACTGAAACGCCCAGCTTTGGCAATCACTGAATTGCTACTGTCATTACTTCTCCACCCCCAAATAATTTTTAAACTACTCTGCCATTACTTTTCTTTTGGGAAGCCCCCAACTTGCAATATCTTCCAATTCTTCACATTTGAATAACAGAGCCTTGAATTACACAAGGTTGTTTTTATACGCTGGTGTGGGCTAGAAAGAAGTTTCTTTGCAGAAGCCTCTTTGTTGATGTTTCTCTTCCTTCTGCAGATGATGGTACTCCCTGGTTAACTTTCATGGGCTGCCTAAAGAACTGTGCTAATGTGGACAACATAAAATGGAGTGTCTATTTGGTGAACTTCAGGTGCTGTAGGAGCCATGACTTGTGCAATGTACACCTCTAGAAAATGCTCGTCCTTCTGTGGCTCTGATCTCTGAGTGACATTGTTGCCTCGGACTCTTCACAACGATTTCTTAAAAAAACACATTTCAGATTGCAAACACATGGCTCTGCCTTCTGCAGATTCTCTGTCTTGGCCCTTATGGGGGGAAACACCCTGAGAGCAAGATCAATATATCTCACAGGCTGTTACAAAACCTAGTGCTTTCACTGTATACCTAAGTTGCTTCACAAAAGGAAGAAGAAAATAGATTCTTTTCCCTCCTTCTTCTCTTCCTTCTGCAGCAAAATATTTTCATATTTTTTAATGTTTTTTTCTCTCAATATTGTTCTTCATATCCCACTCCAATTAAAGCATATGACCCTGGCCTCATGGGGTGGGATGTGGCAAAGTAAAAAGAGATGGCTTGAGTCTTCTTGAATTTTGTTTATGAATGCCGTTCCCAGAGTGAGCAAAAGGGCAGAACATAGAAAGGAATTTGCACGAGAACTATGAAAAGAGAAAGATCTCTGCCTTCTAGAATGAGACTCTCTTTGCGGTTGGGAGTTGGAGAAAAAGAGGAGGAGGCATCCATTCTAGAGATAGTACTTGCGCTCCGCTTCCCTGGCAAAGTCACAGGAAGACACCAACCTCTAGATAGGGAAGAGCTGTAGGATGCTTCCAAGGAGATGAGACCAGAAGCAGCCACACAGATATTCCCACGCCTGAATCAATTCCCACGCCTGAATCAATTCCCACGCCTGAATCAATTCCCACGCCTGAATCACGGCGTGGAAGAAGCTGAGATCTATGGGACCTGAGGAAGCCAAGTGGGTCTTGGCTACTAGACATCTCAACAGCAGCCTCTGTGGAGAGCTGTCCCCATGACCAGATGCCTCTCCCCACCCTCCAGCTCCATCTCACACACACTCAGGACTTTCACTATGAATAGTTCTAGCACACTGGGGAAAAGTAGGGATTGGAATGAGTATGCTCACGAGAATTGAGACTGACTGCTAATAAACTGGTAGGATGAGGCCCGGAAGGGATGATTAATTGATATTATAAAAATATCATAAAGAAAGTTACATTTCTTCTATACCCATATTGTGTTTTCTTCTTTCTCTCCCCTCCAAACCCTTCCTTTATTTCTTTAACGAACATTTATTTAAAACATCCCATGTTTCAGGCACTGCTAGGCCCTAGGATACAATAGTCATGATCCCTGTCTTCATGGAACTTAAAACAAGAATGAAAATATATTTAAAGAGATCATTAAACATGAAGTTGAAACAAAAATTATAAAAAAGAAACAAGAGGGAATATTTGGTATAAAGTAAAACAGATCAAATAAAAAACACAATAAATGAAATATTAGAATGGAAAAAAAAAGATGAACAAAGAATTAGGCAGTTGGAAGATCAGAATGAAGAACTCTCTCAGAATACAATAAGAAACAAGAAGACTTAGAAAATATGACAATAGAATAAAAAGGTTTACAGAGGACAAATCTGAGAAATAAGGAAAAACATAAGTATTGAGTCGAAGACTATCAAAGACTACAAACCTTTAAGTATTTCCAGTAAGAAAGAGCAGAAAAAGCTTAAGGGAAGAAGAAAGAACTGTCAAAGTTCTTCAAGAGCCTTCACAAAGAAACTTAAAACAATGTATAACTTAGGAAAAACAGCGTAGCCAATTATTAATTAAGATAGCCAGTTCCATGGAAGATTACCACAATCTTTGAAGTCCAGGTATTTAAAAGAATCTTTTGGTAAGGAAAAAATATAACAAAAATATATATTTTCACACACTTCTCCCCCAGGAAAGGAGAGTAAGAATGATATTTTGTGAACGTTCTCAATGTACTTATTTATCAAAACCTGCTTTATGACAGAAAATATTGTATGCTTTGTGTAACTAGAGAATATTTTCTCATTTTTTTCTTTCTCAGACTCTTTTGGATTAACCCAGTATTTATTGATTTTCTCTTCTCTCTTAGCTTTTTAATTATACATTCTTTAATAATTCTTTTAGTAGTGCTGCACACTTGATGTTTTACAGTCTGCCTTAAGTTAGTACATTTACCACCTTATTAGTAACACAAGAATCTTAGAAGAATTTGACTCCGTTTACTCCCCTCTGCTTCTTGTGTATTATTGTCATTGTGTTGCTGTTGTTGTTTATTGTGGTAAAATATATATAACATAAAATTTACCGTTTTCACCACTTTTAAATATACAGTTCAGTGGCATTAAGTACATTCACACTGTTGTACAGCCATCACCACCATCCATCTCCAAAACCCTTTTCATCTTACAAAACTGAAATGCTGTACCCACCAAACAATACTCCTTATCTCCTGACAATCACCATTCCACTTTCTGTTTCCGTGAGTTTGGCTACGTTAGACACCTCATATAAGTGCAGTCGTCCAGTATTTGTCCTTTTGTGACTACTTATTTCACTCAGCATTATGTCCTCATATTTCATCCATATTATAGGATGTGCCAGAATTTCCATCCTTTTTAATACCAAATAATATTCCATTGTATGTACATACCACATTTTGTTTATCCATTCATCTGTTGATGAACACTCAGGTTACTTCCACCTTTTGGCCATTGCAATTCATGCTGCATGAACAATGAACATGAGTGTACAAATATCTGTTCAAGTCGCTGCTTTCAATTCTTTGGGGTATATACCCAGAATTAGAATTGTTGGATTATATGGTATTGCACGTTTAATTTTTTGAGGAACTGTCATACTGTTTTCCACAGTGGCTACACTGTTTTACATTCCCACCAAGAGTGCATTAGGGTTCCAACTTCTCCACATTCTCGCCAACACTTGTCATTTTCTGTTTTTATGATAATAACCATCCTAATGGATGTGAAGTGGTATCTCATTGTGGTTTTTATTTGCCTTTCCCTAATGATTAGTGATGTTGAGCATCTTCCCATATGCTTATTGGCAATTTGTATATCTTCTTTGGAGAAATGCTATTCAAGTCTTTTTGTCCATTTTTAAATCAATTGATAGGGGTTTTTTTGTTGCTGTGTTCTAGGAGTTCTTGATATATTCTGAATATTACCCCTTATCAGATATATGATTCCCAATTCCATGAGTTGCCTTTTCACTTCGTTGATTCTGTCTTTTGATGCACAGAAGTTTTTGATTTTGTGTGTGTGTGTGTGTGTGTGTGTGTGTGTGTGAGGAAGATTGGCCCTGAGCTAACATCTGTGCCCATCTTCCTCTATTTTGTATGTGGGATGCCGCCACAGCACGGCTTGACGAGTGGTGTGTAGGTCCACACCCGTAGTACAAACCCACGAGCCCCGGGCCACCAAAGTGGAGTGGACAAACTTAACCACTATGCCACTGGGCTGGCCCCCAGAACTTTTTAATTTTGATGTAATCCAATTTATCCATTTTTTCCTTTGCTGCCTGTACTTTTGATGTCGTAGCTAAGAAATCATTGCCAAATCCAATGTCATAAATCTTTTCCCCTGTTTTCTTCTAAGAGTTTTATAGAGTTATGTCTTACATTTAGGTCTTCGATCCACATTGAGTTAATTTTTGTATGTGGTGTAACGTAGGCATCCAGCTTCATACTGTTGTATGTGGCCATCCAGTTTTCCCGGCACCTTTTTTTTCTCTTTTTTTAAAATTTTCTTTTTTTTTAATTGATGTGTAATTGACATATAACATTGTTAGATTCAGATATGCAACAAATGATTCAACATTTGTATATATTGCCAAATTATCACCACAATAAGTCTAGTTAGCATTCCCAGCACCATTTATTGAAAGTACTGTTCTTTCCCCTGTTAAATGGTCTTGGCTCCCTTTCCTCAAAAATCATTTGGCCATATATGCAAAGGTTTATATCTGTGCTTCCTACTCTATTGCATAAGTCTATATACTGGTCTTTATGCCAGTACTCTACTGTTTCAATTACTGTAGCTTTGTAGTAAGTTTTGAAATCAGGAAGTGTGTGACCTCCAGATTTGCTCTTCTTTTTCAATATTGTTTTGGCTATTTGGGATCCGTTGAGATTCCATACGAATTTTAAGATGGATTTTTCTATTTCTAAAAGGAGAGAAAACCCACATAATTAATAACAGTAATGAGAGATGATATCATTATAGACTTTACAACTACTAAAAGGATAATAAAGGAATACTATGAATACTTTTATGTCAATAATTTTGAAAGCCTAAATGAAATGGACAGATTTCTTGAAAGACACAATCAAAATGCACTCAAGAAGAAATATATAATGCGAATAGTCTTAAACCTATGAGAAAAATTGAATCCATAGTTTAAAATATTCCAGCAAAGAAAGCCTATACCCACATGGCTTTACTGATGAAATCTATCCAATATTTCAGGAAGAAATTATTCCACTTCCACTCTTCCAGAAAATAGAGCAGGGGACACTTCCCAATACACTGTCTGAGGCCACCATTACACTGTACTTAAAGCCAGATAGAGACATAAAAAATAATTGAAAATTACAGACCAACACCCTTCATGAAAATAGATGAAATCCTGAACAAAATATTGGGATATTGAGCCTAGCATTATATAACAAGGATAATACATCACAACAAGTGGGATTTATCCTGGGAATGCAAGGCTGATTCAACACTCAAAAATCAACCAATATAGCTCACCCTATCAACAGACTAAAGAAGAAAAACCATAATCATCTCAATAGATGCAGGAAAAGGACCTTGCTAAAAATTCCCAGCAAACTGGCAAATAGAAGGGAAACTTCTTAATTTTATAAAATACAAAACTACAAAAAGTCTATAGCAAACATCACACTTAGTTGTGGAAGATTGAGTGCTTTTCCCCTTAGATTAGGAAAAAGGCAAAGATGTTTACCCCACTTGTATTTAAATCACTCTAAACATCCTAAGCAGTGCAATGAGGCAAAATAAAACAAAAAAGGCAAACAGTTTGGAAAGAAAGAAACAAATCACAGATTACATGATTTTTTATGGAAAAAAACCCTAAAAAGCTGTAAGAACCAATAAATATGATTAGCAAGGTT